GGCATGTCCCACCGGGAGGAGGCCCCGGGGCAGACCCAGGACACGCTGGAGAGATTATATCTCTCGGCTGGCCTGGGAACGCCTTGGTATTCCCCCGGATAAGCTGGAGGAGGTAGCTGGGGAGAGGGAGGTCTGGGCCTCTTTGCTTAGGCTGCTGCCCCCGTGACCCGGCCCCGGACAAAGCGGATGAAAATGGATGGATGGATGGATGGATTCTAATTGCTTATGTAAACAAGGAGTCCTTTATAGTCCTATATAGATTTTATAGTTGCATATTATTCTGATAGAGCACTTTGCTCTCAGACAGCAGGCTTACTTGCGGTTCCTAGAATATGTAAAAGCAGAATAGGAGTCTCCCATCTCTCCTGTGGAACCTGTTCCCAGTTTGGATTCAGGAGACAGACACTTTCTGCTTTTAGGATTAAACGTAACATTTCCTTTCTTTGTTTCTTTCCTTTTTACCAAAAGCAGGTTAGGGCTGGATCGGTTTACCCTGAACCATCCCTCAGTTATGCTGCTATACGCTCAGATTGCTGGATGATTTCCCATGATGCACTGAGATCTTCTCTGTGTTTGCTTATGTGCCACTATCAAACTATTTGTAACAAGTGTCACAAGTGTTATGTCCTGTTTGCTTTTTGCAGTCTGCTTGTGTTCACCATCCATCCAGCTGCAGTAGATGGTTCCCCCTCCCTAAGCCTGGTTCTGATGGAGTTCTCTATCTGTTAAAGGGAATTCTTCCTTTCCACAGTCTAGGGAGCTTGGAAAGAAAAGTGTCTGCACTTCTTTAAGTTGCTTGAAGACATTTCACCTCTCAGTTTGAGGGTCAAATGGTGGAAAGTCCCAGATTTAAGCCTTGTGGGAGTGTCCCCCCAAGACGGACAATGGACCCCGTAATGATCCTCCAACTAATCACACGAGCCAAGGTGTGAAAACGGGTTCAGGTCAAAATCAGCCAAAGTTTCAGGTGAGCTCATTGTGAAACCTAGCCCCACCCTATCATGTGATTTCCCAGACGCCTTAACGCCCACTCACATCCTGGGCCATTTGACCTCGGGAAATGAGTCCAGACGGTTTTCTTTCCAAGCTCCTTAGACTACGATGACCTGGATGACTGAGAACCTTCACAGACATATTCCTTTCCACAGTTCCCAAGCGTTTGCTTATAAAGGATTGCTTGATTATTTTTTTTCTCTAATATTGCAGGGTGTTTATCTTACAATATAAAGCATCTTCAAACAGAACTTGCACTATATAAGTAGAACTGAACCACTAAAGCAACTTTCACATACCTTTCTTGACACAAAGAAAATTTGCATCTTTGGCTACAATTGAACCAACAACCTTTTAGTTGCTAATTGAATGTACAGTATTGTCCACTACACCACTGGAGGCAGAACTGAATGCAGCACTACTGCATGGTGTTAATGCATAAAACACAACTGGCGATTCACAGAGGTGCAACTGGAGCAAGCAGCTGGTGGTTCTTACATGCAGGATAAGGGTCTCTACTATTTTGTAGCGATCAGGCATGTGGGTGACCATGTCTGTCATGTTGTCCTCTGATGTCCTCACCAGAGTGGGTCCAAACACCAGGGCTAGATTTCTTGGCTCCATCTGGAAATAATATTAAAACTTCATTTTAGACCACAAAAAAACCACGATTCAATTGATGGGACTGAAGGTAAAGGTTACCTTATTCTTTTCAGAGTGATCTGCTACCTTCTTGAGGTGACCCAACAGAAACTTAAGGGTGTGATAATAATGATCTGGCAGGTCATGGATCTAGAAAGAAGCAATGGGTACATATAGAGAGAGTTTTACTATCAAAAAGACAGAAGTATGTTCACTTCTCTGTTCTCTGCCCTCTTTTACCAGTTTGTTCATTGTCTTTAATCTCTCTTCTCCATCTTCAATCCGGTTGGCATCAATGAAGTGATTGTATTTATCTGTAGGCAGAGATAATGGATGACTAACTAACTACAAGTGATATTCTAAAATTCTGAAAATCATATGCCAACAAATTCAGTGGCTTTGTAACTTGCCACTGAAGAAAAAATGCAATCTTTTTTTATTTTTTATCCAAGCAACAGAACATTATTCAATACATACTCGTTAAAGATTCTTTGACATTTCACTGTAAACAAATGTCTGGACTCACCATCAGTAAACAGAGGCTCAGGCAGTTTTCGGAAGAATGTTTTAAGTAGGCTGCTGATAACATTCAGGTCTTGCCATCTCTGTGAGGACATGAAGAGGAGGCTTTAGGATTATAGTATCCCACATAGCAGACAGGTCTGGCCCAGATCTGGTATCAAGCCGGCACTGCTGGCTGACTTCTGGCATGATAAGATGTATGTCATCCAGATATGGGCCAGGCCTGGCATAGATGGCACTGTCTATGCGATGGCATGCCATATCTGGCTCGATTGTGGTTTGGGTTATGTGGCCCAGGCTCATAGCAAACAGGTCTGGCCCGGATCCGGCATCAAGCTGGCCCTTCTGACTGACTGGTGTCATGGCAGAGTGTATGTCAACCAGATGTGGGCCAGGTCTGGCAATGATGGCACTATTTATGTTCCTATTTTCCAATTTTAGTTAGAAGACCCAAATGCCATTTGCAGTACTATACTGCTATGGTAGCCAACGTTTCAAATGCAGGTTTGACAGGTTTGTGAGTGTACACTTTAGGCAAAACCTAGTGATGGTTTACTCAAGTTTACCACTGGCCGGCTGTAGCTCAGGAGGTAGAGCAGATCACCTGCTGATTGGAAGGTTAGTGGTTCAATCCCTGGTTCCTCCAGTCTGCATGCTGAGTGTGAATATGTATGAATGTAGTTAGGAGAAGATGTGTTAATGTGGCATGTTGTATAGAGACTAGAAAAGCACTATTTAAGAATTCACTGCCTGAACAGAGTTTAGTCATGTTGCTTTTGTACTATTATGTTCTGGCACATGTTGTTATTACATGGCTTGATTAAGGTACACATTAGGCTGACATCTGGGGCCAGAGCTGAAACTGTTCTGGGCCAGCACAGGACCACCAGTGTGTCTGCAACTGGCCTTGTGCTGGCCCATGTGTGGGCCACCTCTGGCAAAACATATCTGGGCCAGCAAAGCGCCGTCATTCTTTGCGGTATGTGGGCCATGTGTGCACACACTGTGTGGGCCAGATCTGGGCCATACCAATTTCGCTATGTGGGAATTACCTAATCTATCAAAATTACACATGGGTTTACCGTAATAAAATCTGTTTCAAATATGGCATAGAAAAACTTCTTTTCTATTCTATTGGCGGCAATCTGTTCTTTAGGTCATCCCAAAAAGGTATTCTTTTCATCGGGACGTAGCGTTTTCAGGGGACGAAATATTTTGTCACTCATCCAGCTGACTTCTTCAGTCTCAGCTGACCACAGCTTTGCCTAACCTTTAAGCAGTACCTTTGCACAGTGACTGAAACTAGCACCGCTGGCGAACAATGGGCTGTGAGGCCAGTTCCTTGATCATTAATATGCAAATTGTCATGGTCATTGATCAACAACCACTGATCAAAGACCATTGATCAATGGCTATTGATCAGTGGCCATAAGCATAATTCACAAAAAGTTGGGGAATGGCTGCAATCACAGCATTGTAAGATGGCAAAGGTTTACCCTTTAGATCACCTCCTCAATTCAGAGATGGTCTTTCCTCCCTGGTGAACTTGATGTGTTGGTCCACAGAGTTTGCTCACGGTGCTGATCACATTAACTCGGTGGACCAACACATCAAATTCACCAGGAAGGATATGAAAAATGACAAGTAGCATGATCATTGATCAGAATTTAACAATTTTTCATTTAGGACTTGGTAGGTTTGGATATTGTATTGTATATTGTATAGCTTTCTTGTTATATGTAAAATTGTATTATATTATTTAATTTTTACTTTAAAATATTTTACTTGCATTTTTAATCACTCTTATATTTAAATGTTCACTTTCTATTTTATCTAGGGATTGAGAGTAACGAAGTTTCTATTCTCTGTATGTCCTGTACATGTGGCAGAATTGACAATAAAGTTGACTTTGACTTTGACTTGATAACTTTTTCCCCTAATAAGTTAAAATAAATGTCCTTGGGTTATCTTTGTCTAATATTAAAATTAATTTGATGATTTGAAATAATTAAGAGTTAGAAAAAAAGGTGCTGCAGTTACTCAAAGGGAAGACAAAAGAAATAACTTCAGCTCCTGTCATTATAGATTATAATCAGCTCCTTAGATTATAGTCTTTAGTGGTATGTACTTTCAGTCTGACCTGCCACAGTCAGACTTTATCTTTATTGTGTTAAAAATTTCCTCTATAGTTTTCTAATAATTTAATCTGTTTCAGATGTAAAATTTTGAACATTTAAAAAACTCATCATGATGTAACATTAGTTTCTGTAGTCTGCTAAGCAAAGCAGGGCTAGTTTCCATACCTCTTCAGCAGTGTTCAAGTCCATGCCCTTGTTGAGATGCTCCTGCAAGTTAGACACCATGGCATTGTTGCCTGGTACACGGTATATACCAGTGTACTCCAGACCAGTTGCCTCTACAACACCACAACACATCTCCACTATTAGAGGAACAAACTGATAAGAGAAAACAAGGGAGACAAAAGAGGGAAAAATAGACAATAAAAAAACTATTTCAACAAACAGATTTTCACCTACAACCTCAGCATCACATGACAATCACACTCCGTCTGAACATATACATCATTTGAAATAAGTTATTTCTGGAACAGTTGCTTTAGTGGCTTGTCTTTGTCTGTTCCATTGATCTTTTTGGGAAAAGTGGGGACCTTGGACAATAAGATGGACAAGATTAGTGAGCAAATTAAGAGAATGACAAAATACCGTGTTCTCTGCTCTAACAGTGCCTTCACAGGGTCCAGTTTCAGCTCAACAACTGAGCTGCCTTTTTGATTATTTTATTTAACTGGAATTATTAAACAAAAGGCAACGTTTTCAAGCATAGCAGAAATCCAAAAATGGAGCAGAAAATAAAGTCAATAAATCCAAATAGAAGACACACCAAAAAGGTGAAAAGGTGAAACTCTAAACCAGAAGTAAACTAAGAAACAAACTGAAAATGAATAAAGAGAACTTAAATGACCAAACAAACATACATACTTGGTAAAAGCACCTGACACTATTACTCACAGACACCTCATCAGAAATACTCTCAGCAGAAGACAATACAATAACACATGGGTCATCAAATGGTAATGTCTCTTGCTTGCTTCTCTATGTGAAGGCTGTCTCTGGAAAGGACCCCTTCAAAGTCAGTGTGGATTTAATATGTGCTTGTATACCAGTAGACTTACCTTTGTCCCAGCCATCACCTACATCTCTGCGGCCCTTCAGTCAGTTCACTCTAGCTTAGATTTCTACTTGTTAACAAACTCTGCTAACTTTGTTTCCTTGTACCATCTTTAGGAGGCTTTTTCCCCTCAGAGAGCCCAGGTGGTGGAGCACAAACAGATCCTCCACCATCTTGCTACCAAATAAGAATGAGTGCTTTAACAAGTAACAGTATGGCGCAGATTCTTTGCTCTCAAAATTAATTGCCTTTCACAGTTTACATCTCTCAGAAGCATCAGAGAGTCACTATCACACCGCCATCTTTGTCCGTTCCTCTCAGTCCACAGAGAGAGCCTCGTCTCAGCTGGAATCCTTCTCCAGTCAACTGGAAAAAGGCTGAGATTTTTTACTAACACAATGATCTCTAGAATTCAAACAGCTGAGCTGAAAACATTACTTCAACAGCACAGCGGCACTTGAAAGCAGGGCACTTTTACGGAGTGTTCTTTCTCCTTATACAAACTTTTGATTTCTGCTAAGCTCCTCGATGATGACTCCTTTGAAGTGTTAACAGACTCACGGGCTGAGTAGGGTTTTTACCTCTACTCAGCCCGTGAGTAAGAATGAAGTGTCTACAAAGACACTTCATAGCCAAACAACTAAATACTCCATTGGAACCTCTGTCCAAACTTTTCCAAGTCTCCGTCTTAAATGGTCACCATCTTGCCTGTATCACCATTGCTCTGGACACTAGAAATCTTAGAGTACATCCAAGTCTACATCTCTGATGCACCTAACACACTGATGGTATTTGGACCCTCTTGGTTTTTTTCAGAGAACTTGACCTCTGACCTTCAGTCCAAAGTCACTGAGATTAAAACTTGTCCGAGATTTTTAGTAGATATACCTGTGGTATCAGTTTGAAATCCTAGGTGAATGCTTTCTCGAGTTATCGCATTCGTAAGATTTTCAGAAAACTTGAATACATCAGTTTCAGTAAAATACCTATCATACTTTCCAATGAGCTACACGTCTTTGTTTTACTTAAAATCTCATTAGAAACCTATTTTATTGTACATTATTTTAAAACAAACTTTTTTTCCCTGCTAACTTGTTTTAACCACTTACAGAAACAATAAAGTTCACCAAAGAAAAAACTGATTTACAATAGACCCAAGGCAAAAAATACATTTATAGGTCTGCTCCACTTTAACTTGACAGTTTGATTTTGGGATTATTTAATGATTCTGCTTGTAGCCAAGCAGTTTTTTTTACTATGAATTTTGACTTACCTTATGGTTGACAGCAGGCTGACAGTCCTCGAGACGTACACCAAAAGCCTTTGGAACACCTGTCTTCTTGGCCTTCTTCATGATGTTAATGCTCCACAGTGCCTTGTTATCATCTGAATCACACAGATGCAGATAAATGGATACATAATTAAGTTAAGCATTTTTGCTGCTTTGATTTGTCATATATACTGAAGAACACAAACCAGAGTCATGTTTAGACCCTCCAGATCTGGAAGCTCTGTTCACTGAAGTGTTGTCAGTTTTTGCCAGAAAGAAGGGCGGCATCATACGATGGGCTCTGGGAGAGGAGTCTAGCTTACTACCTGTCAGACTACACAAAAGAGAACAACAAAGTTAGGCAATTTTTAACCTCATCGTGTTGGTTTAGGTGTGGATGTTAGTTTAAGTGGATGTAACAAGGTTAACAGAAGTTGTTAGTTTTGATGTGTCTTCAAAAGATATTAATAAATAAAAAGGTGCAGTGGTTTTGATACACTATATTGCCAAAAGTATATATCCATATTTACAAGTATATGCACTTGAATGACATTGACTGCCAGGATAGCTGTAGCTCGGGCAGTAGAGCAGGCCATCTACTAACTGGAAGGTTGGTGGTTCGAGCCCTGGCTGCCCCTAGTCTGCATGCCAAGTATCTTTAAGCAACATGTTAACCCCAATTTAATTCATAGAGTTTCTATTATGTCAGCCCTCTTTGCAGCTATAACAGCTTCACCTCTTCTCAGAACGTTTTCCACAAAGTTTAGGAGTGTGATTCATTAGAGTTATTTGTGGCCCTTCTTGCAGAAGTGGATTTGTAAGGACACGGAGACTTGGCTTCTCTTTCTAATTCCTCCCAAAGGTGTTCTGTCGAGGTCAGTACTCTATACAGGCCAGTCAACTTCTTCCACATCCCACTTGCTCATTTATGTCTTTATGGACCTTGCTTTTTGGACTGGTCCAGTTCCCACAAAATTGGGAGAATGAAGTTGTCATGACGTGGACACTCCAGTGGCACTTAAAGTAATGGGAAACAACTTTATCAAGTGACCAACGCATTTTGGCTTGTGGTCTTCATCAGGGTCATAAAATGTCAACGTTTAAATAAAAAACAGGAAACAGAAAAAAATGTTAAAAAATCCAAGTGGACCAATTACACCTTCACATGAAGTTGTCCAAATGGTATCTGGGTGGCATGGTGGCCTGGTGGTTAGGACTGTTGCCTCACAGAAACCTCAGTTTGACTCCACCCTCTGGCAAGGGCCTTTCTATGTGGAGTTTGCGTGTTCTCCCCATGTCTCCATGGGTTCTCTCCAGGTACTCCAGCTTCGTCCCACAGTCCAAAGGCATACAATTAGTGGGGTTGCATTTATTGGTGATTCTAAATTGCCCAAAGGTGTGAATGTGAGTGTGAATGGTTGTCTGTCTCTCTGTGTTAACCCTGCATCAGACTGGCAGTCTGTACAGGGTGTACCTTGCCTCTCACCCTGTGGTAGCTTGGATAGGCTCCAGTCCTCTGCAAAGTGTAAGAGAATGGATGGATAGTCATGTGGCACTGAGAGTTCCTTTCACTGAAAAACAACCCCACACCATATTCCCCCCTCCACCAGTCAGATAAGTACCATTCCCCTTGCAACCACCAGACTCCTTCATCAGATTGCCAAACAGACAAGTATGATTCTTCACTCCAGAGAACACGTCTCCATTGCTCTAATGTCCAGTGCCGGCGTGCTTTACACTACTGCATTTGATGCTTTGGATTGCACAGTGATCGAATTCTTGGATGCAGCTGCTCAGCCATGGAAACCCATTCTATGAAGCTCTCTACACACTACTCGTGATCAAATCAGCAAGGCCAAATGAAGTTTAGAGAAAGTTGGCACCCTCTATGCACTATGTGCCATCTGCTGACCCTGCTCAGCGATTTTACATGGCCTACCACTCTGTGGCAGAGTTGACGTCTTTGTTATGAAACCAATAACAGTTAACTGTTGCACAAATGGCATCCTATCATGGTACCATGCAGGAATTCACTGTGCCCCTGAGAGTGATCCTGTCATGGTCTGGCAGTCCTCGCCGGTTAACCTGCCTGTGTGTTATGTTTTTTCTATCTTCATTGTCAAGGCTCCCCTCCCGGTTCCCTCCTTTATGTGTACAGTGGGGCAAAAAAGTATTTAGTCAGCCATCGATTGTGCAAGTTCCCCCACTTAAAATGATGACAGAGGTCAGTAATTTGCACCAGAGGTACACTTCAACTGTGAGAGACAGAATGTGGAA